TAAATGGGGAATGAATTGTGATGAATGTGTTCATGAACATCCTCATTTAAAAACAAATGGCACCACAGTTTCAGAGTTTTAAATTGAAAAGTTAGTAGCAAAAAGAGCTGCTCCAAAATCCATATTCTATAAAATTCACATAGCTCATGAGGAGAATGATAAAACTATAGATCATGAGCAATTATGCTCCAAAGAAAGGTTTGAGCCGGCTGCATTCATAAGGTCCTCCTGGTACAAAGACATAGACATAGAATATAACACTATAGCCAAAGTGCTGCGTCATGCTGCCGTAGTTTTGTAAATAAGATTTATACTAATAGAATAATGTAATCCGCAAGTTTTCATGAACAGTATTGTGACTTCTAAGGCTCAGATTCAAGAAACCTGAATTGTTTAGCAGGCTGTAGAAGGTGAGTCTTTCAGAGAAAGAGAAGACGGGGCAAGATTTGGATACCCACCACGTTCTCTCTGGTGACATTTATGTGATGTCACACAGATGACACCATCTAAGAGTCCTCCTTGAAGAAACTGTATCAGAGTTTTTCTTTCCATCACCATTTAGTGTCCACAGGTAATAAGGATGTGCATAGAGCCCTATGGATTTGGGAATATGGATTTATTCTCATTACGAGATGACTACCCAATATCCCTATGGATACATGCATGGAGAAATCAACCATTGCAAATCCCAAGGGAAATTTTTTTTATGAATCTACTTCCTGCATGCCTTCACTATCAAATTAACAACTGTGGGATAGACTCATTCACCATAGCTTGACATGAGGCAGGAATTAAACTGCAAAATGAGTGTCCTTCTGGAACCCTAACAAATGTTGTAAACTAAGCGTGAGAAAAAGCAGACCAGAAAAAAAAAAAGGTCTTCTCTTGCTGTTCTGCCACCTACCTACCCTGGCCTCGGAATCAAAACACTGCTTTCTCTATACATTTCTCTATACGTGATCAAATATGAGAGGCCAGCAGGTGATGTCATGCTTTAACCACTTCTTTCAGATGTCCTCCAGTCTGAAATACCTTTAAACCCCATATTTATCTTTTCAATTATACAACTCATCTCATCTAACAATCACATTACTTAGCTAATCGCTTTCTTCAAGCTACTGTTTTAAAATAAGCAAAATAAAATGAGAGAGTACAATTTAAAGTATAAAAATGGAGACTACAGTTACTGTGTTCACATTACTTCCAGAGTAAAAAGATATTTGTGGAGGTGAGTTCTAATTCTGATAAATTAATCAGTTCAGAATCCTGCTGCACACTATGAACTCTGAGGATAATAGCTATAGCACTATTTTAGAACACGATATATGCCAAGTATCATTCCAAAACTTTTTCGCATATGTTATCTCATTTAATTCTCATCAAAACTCTGTGAACAGGGGTGCCCTGTTTACACCCATTTAACTTATGAGAGTAGGAAGCATGGTTTACTTAAAGTCACAAGCCAAGGCAGTCTGGTTTCAGAGCAGATGCCCTCAACTGCATGAATGGATAGACCAGGCTCTGTGAGGTTTGAAGCCTTTGCTTACTGGTACAAAACTATTTTTGTTTTATTATCCTGTTATTTTTATTCTCGAAAATTGAGGAGGCTGTCTTAAGGAATTAGTGTTTCTATTAGTAGGTTTTTAGACTATCTGAGACTTAGAGAACTATAGCTTGATGTATTCAAGGCCCAGAATCAATTTGGATGTGACATGAGGACTCTGTCTGCAAATCCTGCTTTGAGAGCTACCACATTTATAAACAAGCGTGCACCAGAATGCAGCATGTCTTTCGAGCTGGTCTATTGCAAACACAAGTATGTAGCACAGTCAGACCTCATTTGGGCCATCCTTTGCTGGTTAGGTACATTGGCAATGAAAGATCTGAAGGCATACACTTGGCAGTGCCTTCAAAATATCCAGTTGGTCCTAGAACGTTAACATGCTCATTATGTGCATTTATTGTGCCTGGGCTCCCCACTGTCCAAATCTCCCCCGAGTCTCCAATCAAGAAGAAGTATTGAGAGGAACACTGCTAATATGACATGACTGGGGACAATACAGAGTGACATGACCCAAGGTGATGAAGAGAACACTTATGGTTTCCTGACCGTTCCCGCCACGTATCTTAATGCGTATTACATCCCTGCCTTGGCAGTTCCAGACAGAAAAGCCAAAAGGTATTTAGGAAGCTGCATCCATCGACAGCACCAACAGTCCATCTGAAATGCTGTCAGCTTACAGATTGACTTGTACCTGGTCTCTCTATATACCACTCACTCCCCTGCCTTCACGTCCAACTCTGCTTTCAGAGGCCAGCAAGGCATCTCCCCAGAGCCCTGCACCCTTCACAAAGACCTAGGGATGCAAGTAAGAGAGCCATCGAGTTGGCATTTGATTCATTAAGAGAGAAAGCCTGCAAAAACAGGAACAGATTGGATTTCAATCTAGGACCGGGATATAGAGAAAGTAAACGTTAAAAAAAATAAAATCTGTACATCCATGGTCGCTGAAGCAATCTTCCAAAACAGTAGAAGTATTCCCGTTCCTGGCCCCATAACACAAAGGCCCAGAGCCTGATTTTAAGTAGGTGCTTTGTTTTATATTCAAAACAACAGTTTATCCTTTATATAATACTGAATTTATTGGACTACATGGGACTACTGCTGAACAACACACTAGTGTCCTAAATGTTGGGAATTCTCATCTACACTATTGTATCCAGAGAGTAATTCCAAAATTTCCTATGTGAATTTTTGATTGACCTAGATGTTAGGGAAATGTCTTCCAATTTTTAAAAATATTTTCTCTTCATTAAATAGGAAGCATTGTCTTATCTTCTTTAGAAAGCATTCTGTAGGTACTGATTTAAATGTTTCACTCAAAATTCGTGGACAAAATTGCATATTCAACACTAGAACCGAATTGCACATAATTTAATCTTTCTTTGAGATTAAGAAGCTTAGTTTGAGAGCTCCCTGAAATTCAGGAATTTCATTATGATTTCAGCTCGTATTGCATGAAAAGAAATGTAAACATAGCAACTGGCACATGACCTGAGAATTGTGTACCACTGGGCAGTGTCCATCCTGGCCATTTGGGGAAGGTATTCCTCAAGTGGTCTTCTCACTTTGGAAGTGAAGAAAAAGAACACACTATAAACTCTTTCACGTTAGGGAGTCAAGCCAAAAACAAGGAGAGTTTGCATTCAACATATACCATTACTTGCCTCCTATACACTGTGCAGATATCCTCAGAAAACCAAGATCAAGGCCAACCTGAATTTTAAATCCCATGGTGGTAATCTGGGATAAGACAGGGTTTCTCTTTAGGCTAATGAATGAGAATTTTTTTGTCTCCTTAAAAAGAAAATTATTATTATCTTTTAGGAGAGAGATAAAGGCAAAAGACACATAATGTAATGAGCTGAAAGTGGATTTTCGTTGCTAAAAAAATGTGCTGGGTCAATGGAATGACTAGAACTAGTGCTGTGAAATTTCGTTATAAAAGAATAAAGAAACCACTAAGATAAGGATATCACATTAATGCGGGGGAGAATTATTAAATTCTTGTCCTTTTTGATATTTCCTCTGACAATTAGTATTTCCGTCCTCACCAGATGACATAAACTCTAGGCAAATTTCCAAAGGAATTAAGTAATAAAATATGTTTTGAGAGGAAGAGGGAGGGAAAAAGGAAAAGAAAGAAAAAGACAAGAAACTGAGACACTAAAGAGAAAGTAAAGAAGAAAGTTAAAAAAAAAAGAGGCATCTTTAAAAGAGCTTCTAGGACTTGAATTAAGTATGGCATTAAATTTTTTCTACCAAGTCTTAGTCTTGGCAGGTTTCTGCTAAATGCAGGAATTTCATGGATGTGGGAACTGGTGATGGAAAATGCATTATTATACACAACAATTGCTGTACTTGAGAGGAACTATATGGGAAAAAATAACACCCTGGAATAAATACAAATGAAATTCATGTATCAAAACCATTACTGTGAAAATAGTTTAAATGTTTCTTGCATTTATATCTAGTCATTAACCTAAATGCAGATTTTAGTTCAAGCTACACTTCTGCCTCATGGTCAGAAGGCCTGAAAACCTGTGACGTGGAAAATTGGCAGGATAAAGAATATTGAATTGGCCTCCACGGAAAAACAAAATTTGGCAGCCATAACCTCCTCCTTGGGCGGCTCTCTCCACCCCCCATTCCCCCCGCCACCGCCCCGCCACTATTCCCCTGTCAAATTCCTCCCTAGCTCACTCTTGTCCCAGCAAAGAGGCCAAGGGAAGGCCGTATATGAGCTAAAACAGCAAGCTGATGTCAACCTGACCATTCACCAGGGGACCTTTCTCCTTGACCTTGAATCCCATGGTTCAAGTGAGCCCCCACAAAAGTCCCAACCCTAGACTTAGCCTCTGAGAGCACAGAGGCTGGAGGTTTCTATTTCTCCTGACTTTGGTTTCCTTCATCCTTGGAGAAGGGCGTGGGGTGAGGCATCTGCCTTACCAGATATGAAACTGCAATTCACAAATGAAAATGACAGACTCATTTGCATACATCCCTAAAATCTCTTCCGCTCCTCCACCCCTACTCTCATCCTGTTTTAATCCCACATTCAGTCTGGTTGCCTCAAGCAAAGAAGACCTTTTCTCCAAAGTTTATTTAGTCTAGCAAACAAAACCCAGGGACTCCTCCAAAATTATTTCTCCACCTGGGAAGATCCTAAGGTCCCACCTCGCCCCTGGGGCCCACCTCCCTCCCTCCTGGGGCAACTCCCAAACCCAGGCTCCATTAAGCAGCCCGGTGTTGAGGGAGAATATTTCCCTTCCAACCTCATTTCCAACCTTTCCCAAACCCTCCAGCTTCAGAGGGAATGTTCCCCAGGCCCTTTGCATGAGCCATTTGGAGCGATAACTTTCCCCCCCAAAAGTGAATGTTGTTTCCGTGTGCTGTGCGTGTCTTGGTGGTTTCACCCTGATCTTTTCTCTCTTTGCAGCTGGTTAATAATCCACTAGCAAGTCAGGCTGCAGCGGCTGCAGCAGCAGCAGCCATGGGCTCCATAGCAAGTTCACAGGCCTTTGGCAATGCCCTCTCCAGTCTGCAGGGGGTCACGGGTCAACTAGTTACTAATGCACAAGGACAGGTGAGTGGGAGATGGGAACAAGAGTGAATTTTTATGGCAGATTGAACTCGGAAAAGAAATGAATTTCTTTTGCATGACAGTGATATGTAACCGCAGCCATACAAGGCAAATAAATAATGTTGACCAGCAACGTCAAGAAGAAGAGAAGGGTTGGGAGGTGCTTCTCTAATTTAGAGGCAAGAATTTTTTCCTTCCCCTAGAATGTCTACTAAGTTTTATTTTGGTTTTATTTCTATACGATGACTCATGTTATGACCTTAATTGAAGAAATTACTTTTCAGGATTGGGAGACTCTTTCTAAGAAAAATCAGTTACATTTTACAAGATTTCCATTTTGCTTTTTTTTAGTTTTTTCATTTTTTGGAAACTTGGGTATTGGAGGAGACTGGTAAGTTTCCTTCCCTAATTGCTCTAAGATTTTTAAGTTAGCCTTAAGAAAGCTATTTCTGGATGTGTGGGGAGGTGATGGGAAACAATTCAGGATGTCCTGTAAAGGTAAAAAGGAAAAGGCGTGAGTTAGAGTTATCCCAAAACCGCCAGCCGCCGACGTGCCCGGCCACTTGCTGATTCTCACTAGACCTCAGCGGTCTCTTGTGTGCTTGTAGATTTACTTCAGCCTTCTAGGGCCAGTAAACCTTGCTCATGTCACCATCAGGCACGTCTCTTCCCTCACACTGCTCACGTGCCCGCATCGCGACCACCAAGATGCTGACGGGGCTTCTTGATGAAGGCGGTCCCTCTTCAAGACCCCAGTAAACCTGAAAGCTGCGTGCAGAGCCAAAAAGGTTGAAGCTGATGGTGTCAGGGGTGCCCTCTATTCAAAGGCCTGACACAGAGCCCAGCCTCGCTGGGTAGGGCACCTGGTTCTCAAATGTTGCTGTTTCTGATGATGAAACACAAGAGAGAAGGAGCTTGCAACCTTGCCGAGATTTCTCCTCCCTGGTTGTTTACCCAGCAGTGAGGTTACTCCTCTATGCTTGGCCTGCTCTGGGGGAACAGGAATTGAGGTGTCTTGAACCTTGCTTTATTTTACATAAAGAATAAATAGAGATGCATTATAAGCTAAACCGGCTCCATCCACATCCGAGGGGGAAAAAAAAAGCCGATCTTGTTATATTTCCTGGGCGGGTGCAGGATTGTCCCATCAGAACCCCTGAGGCCTGAACGATGGAGCTTGTCAAAGAGCGGCCCCAGGTAATGAATCATCTTATCACAGGTGCACACCACACATATTAAAGGAGGGATGTATGAACACCGTGCCCTCCTCGGTCACCTTTCAATGTCGACTTTAACCCTTGTTCCAATCCCTTTTCATCAAAGGATCATTTTATGCAGCCGGCTCTAAATGGAGGCTCTCAAAAGCCTATTAAGATTTCTGGAGGGATGGGGTATTGATGTGGAGGAAAAGTTGGTTATGATATCTATAAGTCATACTCAGATCAGGTCTGTCCTGGTAGCTGTTTCCTGGAGTTGTGCCCGAAATAGAACACCCTGTTTCCTTCCTGCCAGGCAGCCGACCCTTGAAATGTAAATTTTAAGAGTTCAGGATAGACAGCATAACCATTGATGCGTATTTCCCTCTGATTTTTCTTGTTTCCATGTCCAAGTAAAATGTACTACTATGCCCCACCTCTTGAGTATTTGTGATGAAGAAAATGCTTCATTGTTTAAAAGGAATTATTAGTTTATTCTTCTGATGATTTAATGGCTGATCATTTTTGCCGGTTACAAATCCACCTCCTTCTCAGGGGCTAGGGTTACAACCTCTGCTTTGTGTGGCCTTGGCCAGTCCCCATCCCAGGGGCTCCCAGCCCACAAGTACCCCTAAGGAAATGGGCTTCAAAGTTGAAGCTGGATTGGCACTCTGCATAAATTAAGAGTTGATTTTAACTTTAATTTTTCTATTTTAGAAACTGTGTTACAATAGTTGATTTGATATGGTACACAAACCTCCTAAAGTAAAACAAACTTAACAGAGAAATCAATCATGGCCACTTATAAAGTCTTGTCTGAGAGTTTTAGACACGTCCCAATGGCATCATGTCCCCTTCCTAGTGCAAGAAGAGACCAAGATGCTCCCATTTCCAAAGTAGAGGAATTGGCCACATTGATGCAGCACTATAAGTTTTTTTAAATCTTTGTAATATAAACACCATCATCTTCCCAGAAAAAGGTGCATGCCCTGCACCTCTTGGCACAAAGATACCTATTTGAGCCTTACAAAGTAGTCAAATTATATCCCCCAAAAGGCAAATATTATTTGGGCTGTGTGTGTGTGTGTGTGTGTGTGTGTGTGTGTGTGTGTGTACTCCTTTGGCTTGTGTTAATGTGGTACAAAAGGTGAGGATACATTGGAATCAGGTTAATGCAACCGCCATGTTCAAAATACCATGTAAACTAGGATTACTACATGCAGCCCATTTTCAATTCCTTAAAAATCTCCATGGAGCTTTCCCAGAAAGGATACAAAGAGAAAACTCTAAATATATTTAGAGATTCTTTCATTTGAGTTCGTGACATCAACTATTTTTTTTTTTAATTTGAAAGTTCACCTGGGAGTAGTAACATTAAAATCTAAACGTAAGTTAGAAAAGCATGTTTTACTCCACTGATAATTTGCTACGGTAGGTCTGTTGATTGCAAGCAGGGGCACTGTGTTATCAGTAAGGCCATGATCCTTGCTCCCGCCTGCTGAGATTCTCTTTGCTCCCTGGAAACCGAAGTGGGATTACTCAGTAGTTAAGAGCCCTGACTAATTTCAGACTTCCCTGGGAGTGGGTTTAGGCTCCACCTCTTTTTGGTCTTATGACATTAGGGCAATGACTTAACCTTCCTAAACCAGAGCCTCATCTTCAAAACTCTAACACAACCCCTATGTGGCAGACTGAGCTAGTGGCTCGCGCTCGGAGGGCAGGTGGTCCTCGGTCTGCCTCCTTGGCTGGGCGGATGCCCACACAAGGAGACGGGCCCGGATCTTCCTTCAAGCTTTAGGGCCTTAGACTCTCAACAAGAAATCCTACCACCTGGGACTGTAGTTTTGCTTCCTTGTCTTGGAATCTATGTTTCCATTTACTGGATCTCAGTAAATTTCGATATAGTTAAGGCATTTTTATGTTCTTTTTTTCCAACTAGTAGTTATGAGCAAATATGGAGGAAAAACTTCAGACATTTTATACCCTTCTAACCCTGCCATTCATTTGCAGTTAATTCAGAAGTCAGACACTGGTCTGAAGAGTGAATAATTCTAACAAAATAATACATTCTAAAGTCACAAAGCACATATCTTACCCAGAAATGTTAAAGTATTTTAAAATTATATCACACGCAGCTTCACTCTGAGGTGGGAAGGTACCAAGTGTTCTAATGGTAATTAGTGATAATGAAATTGATAATGGCTATCGCAGTGCTGAGAAGAACATTTTGGTTCTCTTTGCTCACTGAATCAGGAACTCACGCAGGTGTGGAAGCTAGGCAATGGCATGAGCGCTAGCTATAGACTCATTTGAATCCAAAGTCAGACAATAACTAGTTCTGTGACCTTAGGCAAATTACCTGAGCTCTCTGAGCCTCGGTTTCATTATAAAATAAAAATAATCAGGGCTTCCCTGGTGGCGCAGTGGTTGGGAGTCCGCCTGCCGATGCAGGGGACACGGGTTCATGCCCCGGTCCGGGGAGATCCCACGTGCCGCGGAGCGGCTGGGCCCAGTGAGCCATGGCCGCTGAGCCTGCGCATCCGGAGCCTGTGCTCCGCAACGGGAGAGGCCACAACAGTGAGAGGCCCGCGAACCGAAAAAAAAAAAAAAAATCAAAACTAAGCCCCTAGATTATGAAGATTATATGAGATGTGTGGGGAAAAAACCTACCATAGCACCCGAGTACACCATCAAAGACTCAATAAATGATTATCCTAATTAGCATCATTGTCATCATCATGGTTTAGAGTCTGTCTAGTATTTTCTGGAAACCTTTCTTTGGTTTGGTTATACAGCAGAGGCAGTACAGTCTACAGGCAAAGAGAATGAGCTCTGGAACCAGACTGCCATTCACAGTTGTGAGACCTTGGGCAATTGACTTACCTTCTCTGTGCCCCAATTTCTGCATCCGAAAAATGGGGATTTTTATGGCACCAGCTTCTAGGCCTAAAGGGCTTAGAACAGGGTCAGGCACATAGTCATCATTCAATAATACCATCACTCAATAAATGGTACCTGTTATTATTAATTAAGAAGCTATGTGTTTTCGGTTTATAACTGCACACAAACCTGCTGTGTGTGAGGAGTTTGAGAACGTGAGAATCTTAATAGTAGGACATTAATTTCCGTTAGGGAAATCTCATCCTTACCCTGGATAGTTCAATAGGGGTGTGTGTGTGTGTGTGTGTGTGTGTGTGTGTGTGTGTGTGTGTGTGTGTTCCTAACACTTATTCAGTGGGTATGTTCAGGATTTGGCAAGTAGATTTACCATCGATTTGTTTAGCTATAGAATTGGCTTCCCTCGAGCCCCTGGCAATATCTCCTTGTTGGCGTTATTGCAGAAAAGTAAAAGCAAATGAAATTTTATTTTAACCTGGGGCTAAAGAAAGCATTTTACATTTTAACTGAAGCTCAGAATGTTTCCTGATGAAATTAGTTCTCAACCACTGTGAAATTTTCGTAAGTGGCAGCAAGGCAAGCCCAAAACCCTTCCTTCAGTCTTTAAAGAGCCAGTCGAGTGAAAAAAAAAAAAAAAATCAACTAAACAACGTTACTCTTTTATATATAAAAAGAAGAAGAATAATTAAAATGACTTACGCGTTCAGGTTACCCAAGAATACACACAGCATGATATGAATAAACGATGGCTGAGCACAGCTGGTTTGGCCAGAAGGAAGGATGTGCTGTAGGATAGGGGCTGTTTCCTAAATGACCACAAGGCCACAATTAAAGTAAAACAATCTGCTGATCCTAGCAGTAGCCTAGGCTGGAGAGGTGGATGGAGAGGTAGGACCACCACCAGTGCCA